TCAGCCTTGCAGCCGGGGGTCAGCCTTGCAGCCGGGGGTCAGCTTTGCAGCGGGGGTCAGCCTGGCAGTTGCTCCTCTTACGCTCCATTTATTGGATCACAGCCCTAACTAAACACCAACACTGACCTGCCAATGAAGCACCTGTGAAACCAAGCACAGTCCCCCACACAGAGGGGTCCCGGACGGAGCCCTGGCCCTCTGACGCACCCAGGAGCGAAGCAGCCGACTAGACCCAGTTTACACCACAGCTAACGGAACACGCGCCCTCCCGCATGAGACTCAGCGCAAGAACTCTGGCAATCCAAAAAGACACCGTGTCCCCTCAGAAGACCCAGGCCTGCGGAGGGACGTGAGGCGCAGCCCCGACCCCCGGCTCAGTCGCGAACCCCCGAGCTGGGGAAAACCGAGTGATTAAAACCGCGAAGCTGCGCCTGCGCGCTGGACGATTCCAGTCGGACGCGCGCAAAAGCCAGGCCCCTCCCCCACCACCTCAGCCCGGAACCGGGTTGTGCCCGTGACTAACAGGCAAGGCTCCACCCTACTCCCCGCCCCTTTAGCGCCTCTTGACTGTCGATTGGCGGGATCGCCTTGGTCTCAGCGCTGATTGGCAGCTCGTGCCAGCGGAGGGCTGCGGGCTGGCGCTTCGGCCCCCACCACGTCTCACCCCCTGAGGGGCGCCGAGAGGACGCCCGGCCCCGGTGGACGCCGCGGCAGGAGAGCACGCGAGACTGTGAAGAGCACGGGGAGCCTTTGTCGTGCAGCGTGAAACCCTTGTAAACCCGAGACCTTCCTATTTTGGCCTGGAAGACCCCAGTCCCCTCACCCCGAGGAGCTCCAGACCCCCTCAGCCTCCGGAGACGCCAGCTCCTGTCACCCTGAGGACTTCCTTCTTTCTAGACGGAGTCTCGCCCTGTCGCCGGGCTGGAGCGCGCTGGCACGATCCCGGCTCACTGCGACCCCTTGAGGGACCTTAAATCCCCTCAGCATAAAACTCGCAAAGGACCTCAGCTTCAGAGACCCCAAACCCCTTTACCCAGAGGAACCCCGAATCTCCTAATGATTAGATCCCCAAATATTCGGAGCCTGAGGAGCCGCAATTCCCCTCACCCTAAAGCACCCCAAACCCTTCAGCCTGAGGAACCCTGAATATCTCACCCACAGGGAGACCAAATTTCTCCAAGCTCAGATAACCTAAATACTCAGCCTGAAAACTCAGTCCCTTCAGCTTCAAGGACTACATAACTTCAGTGTCAAAGACCCTAGAGCCCCTTAGTGAGAGACCCAGATCTCCTTTACCTGACACCCAGAACTTCCTCAGCCTCAAAGATCCCAAATTCTTTCACCCGGAGGCACTCCAAATCCCCTTAACCTTTCCAAGCCTCAAAGATCCCAAATCCTTTCATCCAGAGGAACCTCAAATCCCCTCAAATCCTGTCAACTTGAGCCCCACAAATTTCATCCTAAAAGACCCCAAATCTCATTCTGAAAAACCACAAAAACTATCAGCCTGAGGGATGCCAAAGCTCCTCAGCTTGACCCCAAATTCCCTCAATCTCAGAAACCCCAGTTTCTTCAGCCTAAGACACCTCAAATCCCCTCAGTCTGAGGGACCCCAAATCTCTGCCTGAGAGATAGCTGCCCCTTAGAGATGCATACTGCTTTACTCCTGGATTTTTCCTGAATTCCCAGGTAGAGATCCCCAAATCCTATCTATGAGAAATGTTCATTTTGCCTTGCTGAAACAAAACCCTGCTCCTCAGTGTGACCCAAGTCCCAGCAGTCGGAGGGCCTCGAGTTTGCCTTAGGAATCCTCTGGCTTTCACACCTTAGGACTCCCCTCAAACACCCATAGCCACAACCCTCCAGGTCCCTGTGCCACCCTTCTCCCCCTCTCCAAATGAGCCAAGGTGCAGGGGAACTGAAAGAACAAAATCCAGCTTACATTAGGTGGTAGTTCATGGCCAGCAGAGACCTTCCCATCCCATAAGTACCCCCAGACCTCCCTGAGGTGCTCAAGACCTCCCCAGGAACCCACATCTTCCTGCTCTGAACACCCCAGCCAAATGAAGAAGACAGAACCTGGTTCTGGGTAGTGGTCAGGGCTGTTGCCCCCTCTTAGCACCTTCTCCTTCTACAGGAGACTTTGGCTTAGGAGCTGAGAGAATCGGGCCCTTCCCACACTTGGAAATGAAGCAGAGCCTTCTAGACAGTCCCAGCACCATGAGCCCTGAAAGGTCTCAAGAGGAGAGCCCAGAAGGAGACACAGGGAGAGCAGAGCAGAGGCCTATGGTGAGAGGTGGGGGAGGCGAAGCCGGACTCATAGCAAGAGCTGGTCTCGAGTGCTGCAGACTCCTGGCCTGTACCCCTGGGTGACCCTGTCTGCATGTGCATGGAATAGGGGCAGCTGGTCCTGGCCAGGACGTGGGAGAGAAAAGAACACTGGCATCAGTGACTGCTCTGTGTCAGCAGAGAGCTAGGAAAATGCTCAGTGTCTTCTCAGTTAAACAGGATGCAAACTGGAGGAGAAGGGGAAGAGACTCCCAGAGGCCCCAGGCCAAGCCCTACACACAGGGTAGAGGAAAAGCACCCACTCGACGTGTACTAGTAAATCACTGAGGGACTGTGTTACTTCCTCTAGGTCAAAGATGCCTTCAAAGACATTGCCATATACTTCTCCAAGGAAGAATGGGCAGAGATGGGAGACTGGGAGAAAACTCGCTATAGGAATGTGAAAAGGAACTATAATGCACTGATTACTATAGGTAACAAGAAGTGCTAGGCCCATACCAGCCTGGGAAACAAAACAGGTCTTTGGTTCCTATGTTATTTTAGTTCTCAGGTAGTGGTATCCGCCCACAGTTCCCTTTTGTATGAAGACAAATCTGGAGGGAAATTGTGTTCTTTTGTGTCAGTGTGGGGTTGAGTGTGGATACCGACCATGCAGAAGTCACATCTTGACCTTGTTCAGGACTCTGCCAGCTCATGACTGAGCCGCACTGGCTTTGTGGTCCTGTCCATTGCCACTGCCCTTTGTTCCTCTGCCCAGCTTTTCTCTTTTAGAATAAAATTTTTGCTTAATTTCAGGTCTCAGAGCCAGTCGACCGGCTTTCATGTGTCACCGAAGGCAGGCCATCAAACTCCAGGTGGATGACACTGAAGATTCTGATGAAGAATGGACACCTAGGCAGCAAGGTAAGAGGAAAGTAGGATTTTTTATTTTTTTTATTTTTATTATTTTTGAAACAGAGTCTTGCCCTGTCACCCAGGCTGAAGTACAGTGGTGCAATCTCAGCTGACTGCAGCCTCTGCCTCCTGGGTTCAAGCAATTCTCCCACCTCAGCCTCTTGAGTAGCTGGGACATGGTGGCACACACCACCGTGAGCCACCGTGCATAGCCCCCACTAAGATTTAGAGTGACCTCTGGCCAGGCACGGTGGCTCACACCTGAAATCCCTGCACTTAGGGAGGCCAAGGCGGGCATATCACTTGAGGTCTGGAGTTTGAGACCAGCTTAGCCAACGTGGTGAAACCCTCTCTCTGTTAAACATACAAAAAACAAAATTAGCTGGGCGTGGTGGTGGGTGCCTGTAATCCCAGATACTCAGGAGGCTGAGGCTGAAGAAGTGAGTGGCTCACTGCAACCTCTGTGTCCTGGGTTCAAGCAACTCTCCTGCCTCAGCCTCCCAAGTAGCTGGGACTACAGGTGCCCACCACCACACCCAGCTAATGAGTCTTTATAGTTTTCTATATGTAAGATCATGTCATCTGCAAATAGAGATAATTTTACTTCTTTCTTTCAATTTGGATGCCTTTTATTTCTTTACCTTGCCTAATAGCTCTGGCTGTGACTTCCAGCACTATGTTGAATAGAAGTAGCAAGACTGGAAATCCTTTCCTTGTTTATGACCTTAGAAGGAAGGCTTTCATTTTTCATCATCGACTATGATGTTAAAAATGGACTTTTCTTATGTGACCTTTTATGTTGAGGTGATTTTCTTCTATTCCTAGTTTATTCAATGTGTTTGTCATGAAAGGCCAGTTAATTTACATTTTAAAAATGAATGTAATAGATACTTTATGAATATAGGATGAAACAAAGATGAAGTTTCATCTATTTTTTTTAAATCTTGAGAAAATTAGCAATGCCCCAATAGAAGCATAGGCCTTAATGATACCTCAGAAAACATGTTCAAATCACCCTCAGATAATACTTGGAATCATCATTCTCTGGTTCAGAATTCTCTGTCTCTAATGAGAATCTCCAGAGTTGAGCCAGGCATGGTGGCTCATGCTTGTAATCCTAGCACTTTGGAAGGCCAAGGCGGGTGGATTACCTGAGGTCAGGAATTCAAGACCAGCATGGCCAACATGGAGAAACCCTGTCTCTACTAAAAGTACAAAAATTAGCCAGGTGTGGTGGCACATGCCTGTAGTTCCCAACAACTTGGGAGGCTGAGGTAGGAGAATCACTTGAACCCGAGAGGCAGAGGTTGCCGTGA